GCATCTGTCAAATGAAATGGAAAATCAAGATCCTTCAGACAAACAAATTCCCAAATGATGTGGTACGTGGGCTCTCTACTGCCTTGTCAAATGCCAGGTGCCATAACCTCTGCTCTTCTTATTCTAATACAGAAATCCTCTTTTAAATTTTCACAGACTTACCATTCTCCTCCTTTGCTTCTTATCTTATGCACTTTCAGCAGCTGTTGCACATCTGTAAAGCAATGCATACATCCTGGACCACATGGCCTGCCTCTTTATGATAGATGAAGCAGCCTCCAGAGAAGAGTTTTGTTCAGCCCTCTGAACTCCCCTGGAACAGGAGGGGGCAACGGATATACACTATGTTATTGTCACTGATTCAGCATCTCTCTTTTCCTTTTTGTGGCAGATCTAGGCTGAACATCAGGTTGCTTTCATTGTATTCCCTTGTGTACCTCAGAGAAAAAAAAAGATACTGTGTTTATGAGAAGGATTCAGATTGGAAAATAAATATTTGTGAATTTTTTTTCTTAAGATGCCACTGTGACATAGAGCAGCATACTTTGCTCTGACATTAGCAATTATTTCATTGGAACTTGAAACTCTATCTGTGCAATGTCATTGACCGGCTCTCTTACCAAAGCACTGTGCTTCCTTCTCACTTTCTCTGTTTACCACTTACAGTGTTCTAATTCTTAAAGGAACAGTTCACCTAATATGCTGGAGCTTTTTTTTCCCCTTTGAGCCCTTTCAAGGATAGTCTTCTGTGTCTTTTTCCTACTAGAGTACCAAGAACTAGTTCTCTTCCCTTATGAGGACTGTCAAATAGATAATATGCCAAAATGCTTCTGAACCCTCCAAAGCCACATGTTATTGACACTACTGGCTCAGGTCAAAGGGGATGTGGATAATCGAAAAGCCAATTCAAGCATGTCTTAACCCTCTATGGAGGAAACTGGACGTTTGCTCTAACATATAGTGGATCTGTTTGCAGCCATAAGCACCTGAGCTCTAGAAAACACAGAACCATTTCAAATTGCATTTGAGATTCCTTACCCACAGACTGCAATGGCAGGTTTCAGGATTTGTGGTCACATGGGCACACAGCTAAGAGACCTGTCATGTTTTTAAAATGTTGGGCTCCACCTCTAAGAAGGGCAATACTAAACTGTAAAATGGAAATTGATGATTAAATTGCAGCAGGAAGTGTATAGAGGGGAAGGCCTGGCACAGGATTCAAATCCTGGCTCTCATGCTGACTACTTATATGACTTTGGGCTCCAATTACACCTAACCATAAAATGTGATGTATGTGCAATTGGTATGCTCTGGGCTCACTATCACAGAGCCAGGCAGGCTGAGTCTCCCCCTCAGGGTCTTGGGAGTACCCTAAGGGGTTTGGGTAAAGTCTTCTCTCCTGCTATCAGCTTAAGCCCGACTGGATGCATTCCCCTCACTTTTAGATGCCAGTGACTAGAGCCCCAGTTCCACTTAACAACTTAGTATCAGTTAGCTTTTAGAAAGGAAAGATAAAGCATCAAAGTAGAAACATTTTCACCAGGACCTTGGGGCACACTCTTCCCCTAGCAAACCTTAGATTCTAGAGAGAGTAAGGTCATTCTTCTCTCAATCCCTACCTAGCATTTGTCCTCCCAATTTCATGTTCAAATTTGGCATCAATGCAGGATGAGTCCTTCTCTCCGGTATTTCTGGGCTGGATCCCAAAGGTCATTCCTGAAGATCACTTCCTGTTTATCGTGGTATCGATGCTTGTCTGACTATCATGACAGTCATGAACAAAGTCTCCTAGAATCAAAGACTCCTGAATTCAAATGGCTCCCTCTTCCAGTCTTTCAAACCTCACAAAGTTACAATTGCCAATCCTTTCACCTAAAATAAAAGAATACACAAGCAGGCTAGCAAAGAACCCAGGCCTGTTTTCTCAGGCTCTGTGTCAGCCTCAGTGAGAAAAAAAAAACCCAAGGTCTCTCCTCTTTCAGCATTGTCTCTCATCAGACAACAGTCAACAAATGAGTCAAAAAGCTTGACCAAGAATGAGGAGCACAAGAGAAAAATGTCTAAGGCTGGAGTTAGTGGTGCTTTCTGAAAGTCCCCCACCTTCTTGCTACCCAGCCAATAAAGAGCCTTTCCAGTTTTTGTCAAGGCTCTCCAAGGCATTTCCATAATATATCACTGCAACTCTCCCGAAAGCAAGGTCCCTAGGTTCTTCCTTGTATTGAATAGTATCAGAGGTATTGTGAACATGTGCCAAACCCCTATTATATGTAGAAGTTAGTGTTAGACATTGAAAAGGTTTCTGATAGAGAACAGCTAAGCTTAACTTCCAGTGGCTTGTTACTTATAAATCTGGGACAGTGGATGACCGAGGTATGATTAAGGAAGAATCTCTGGGGGCATGAGCTCAAGTGGCCCCCAAGTTCTATGATTTTACGGAAATAGCTTCTATCACAACTGTGTTCTAACGAATAGAAAATCATCCATCTATTCATTCTTTCAAAAAGAGAGTCATGTACAGTCTAGAAGGAAAAACTACATTACTGGGGAAGGGCAAATAGCTCAGTTTTTTCCTCAAAAGGGAAAATGTTGGAATATGTGAATGATAGGCCAATGAACTTGACTTCAATTCCTGGCAAAGATTCTAGTACATATTATTTTTAAAGTGTTTGGAAAGGGAAAAGAGTGGCTACTCAGAGCAAATGTGGCTTTATCAAAAGTAGTTCATGCCAGATAAATCTCATTTCCTTTTTTGACAGTAACCAGATTAGTTGATCATGGAGATTCTGCAGACACACAACAACTGGGTTTCAAAAAATATTTGATAAAATCTTTCATATCACTCTTATGGGCAAGAGGGGGATATATGAGCAAGATAAACATTCAGTTAGATGGATTCAGAACTAGGTATATTGACCAAAGCCAAGAGTAGTCACCAATGCCTTGAACTCAACTTAGAAGGAAGTTTCCAGGGAAGAAATTCAGGTCTCTGTACTTGGATCTGTATTGTTTGCCATTTGTATCAATGACTTAGAAGAAGTTGTGAAAGGCATGCTTACCAAATTTGAAGATGACCCCAAAGTGAGAGGAAACCATTGCAGGGTCAGGATCCAAAATTATTTTGGTGGGCTAGAACAGTGGACTTAATTTTTCTAAGAAAAAATTTAATAGGGTAAGTCTTATTCTTAGGTTGAAAAAATCTCCTTTGCAAATGCAAGATGAGGAAGTCAGGGCTATGCAATAGTTCCTATGTAAAAGATCTGGGAGCTTTAATGAACTACAAGCTAATATGGCTTCCAAAAAAGGTTTAGAGCTATCCTGAGCTTTTTTAAGAGAGGCATCATGTGCAGAACAAGCAAAGTAATAGTACTGTTGTGTTCTATCCTAATCAGAACACATCTGAATCACTGGGCTCATTTCTGGGCACCACATTTATGAGATTATATGAAACAGAATGGTGAAAGAACTATTGACTATGCATAGGAGGAAGGGTAGAATGAAATGAAGATATTTAGCCTAGAGAAAACAAGATTCAGGGAGGGCATCATTGCAGTCTTCATGACCCTGAAGGACCTTCATGTGGAAGAAAGTTTTGATCTACTCTGCTTTGTCCCAGAGGGAAAGGCTAGGAAAAATAGAGGAACTTGCCAAGAAATAGATTAAAATCAGTTTCCTCATCCATAAATGAAGATATTGAGATTACGATTATTTCTGAGGTGACTTCTGGCACTAAAACCCTAGGAAGGAATTATTTAAGTGTGGAAACTATTGATATAAAAACTAAATATGTCTCAAAACAGGAATCTCATATAAAATCTTAAAAGGTTCCGTTAGTTGTTTTGACACCACTGGATTATCCAAGGGTGAATTGTTTATTCCATGGATTACCAGGACTCTTTTATTGCACATTTCCCTTTCTTCTTCATTAGCCATTGTACCTAAAGACAAGCAAAAAGAGAAAAAAAAAAATACTAAACAATCTAAATGCTTGTCTGCAACACTTGGGAGAACCAGAGTTCCCCTTTCAGTCACTTAAACTAGTGTGTTCACATTCCTACTCTGATATCTCATATTTAAAAGTAGGAGTTGAACTAGGTTTCAGGTTCTGCCACCAACTACCTGTATGACCTTTGGTAATCTACTCACTCTCTCTGAGTCTCCCTCAGTTTCCTCATCTATCAGATAAACAAGTTGGATATAGTCTTATTCACCATGGGAGCGAAAGGCATATAATAAGGATCAGGGTAGGAACTTTATATGGTCCCCCAATATACTTTATTTAAGTGCGGAGATAAGAAAATAGTTACAAATACAAGGCAGGACAGGGCAAGTGCCCAATGAATGGGACAGAAAGTCAATCTCATAGGTCCCATACAACATTTGGAAAACTCACTGCATGCAGCTAAACCACATCATATGTCAGCCTTACTGTTCCCATCATCTACACAATCAGCCACTCCAACAACTGGACAGTCAATTCTTTTAATGGGCTCTCTGGGGGTATGGAGTCATAGAGTTGGAAGGAGCTGCCCAGAGCCCTCTACGTTAGAATTCTATTGTTTTTGGCTGTAGGCCCTCACAAAGTTTCTGGAGCAAAGGACAGGTACAGCGTGGTCTTTGAGAAAGGCTGTGTGACTTCAGAAAGAAAAGAAATAAAGTAAGTTTCTAAGCATACAAAGAAATAACATTTAGCCTTGCTTTGAGGACACCATGAGACCAACATTAGATCATTGTGTCAAATTCTGTAGCGTCAACATTTCTAGCTCTGATTTATTGAGGCACCCAATGAAGAAAGACTCAAAGTATCAAAACATCAATGTCAATATAATAACATGAAATTGTTCTTGACTAAATACTAGGCAAGATGCCCCCCAAAAAACTTTTAAAGTGATTCTGAATATGCGGGACAAAAGAAGATGCATTGTAGAACAATGCTCACTATTCAGGGAACGTAGAAAAACAGATTTGTGGACTGTATATCTGTCATTTGTGTATCTTTTTAGGTCAAAAGTCTCTACTTACTTCAATCATGGCCCTAAGGATGCTCTGAGAAAAGATTGCAGTGAAGCGTCAAGCTTAGGAAAGCGCAAAGGCCTTCTGCAGGTGGCTGGTGCAGTAGGTAAGAACACCGGCGTTGGAGTCAGGAAGATCTGAGTTCCTTGGACACTTACTGTCCAAGTGACCTTTGGCAAGTTACTTAGCCCCTGTCAGCCTCAGTTTCCTAACCTGCAAAATGAGGATAAGGCCTGCACCTTCCCCATAAGGTTGTCAGGCTCCAATGAGATCACTTATGTACAGTGCTTTACAAACCTTAAAAAGTGTTTTTATAAATGCTAGATATTATTATTATCTCTTATTTCTATGATATTAGAGTATTAGACAGTACTGGCATCGTGCTGTCCCAAACAAGATAGCTGCCTCCCCTCTGGGAGGAAATATCTATCACTATCCTCCGCACAGGGAAGTCTGTTTCATGGGACAGCTGACCTTGGTATGGCTGTTGTTGGAGTCAGGGGACCTGGTCCCCATGCTCATTCTGAGACTTATGGAGTCACCCACCTTGGGCAAATAGCTTAACCTCTCCAGGTCTCAGTTTCCTTGTCTACCAAATGATGGCGTTGGACTAGTTTACCTCCACAGTCCTGTCTAACTCTGGATCCTGACTTTATCCTGTTACATCATAGAAAGAGGCCCCTGAGGACATTTTTTTCATAGACACACTTAAATTGAGGTCAATACCTTTTTTATTTATTTACTTTTTTAAAAAAAGACAGCCATTAAAACCCAGCTGATAGACTGCAATGACAGCCCGCAAGGCTTCCAGTTGGCTAAACAGAGATGGGCTACGCTTGTCTCCACTGACCTATGAGAGCACCTAAGACATGGATGATTCTGACTGCAAGGACTAGCCTGGGCCTGGGTCCAGAGGATGCTCAACTTTCACATGGCTTTTACATACTGCATATTAATTGCTTCTTCTCTGCAAACATATTCAGTTACCACCAGTTGTCCTCTTTTGGAGAAATGTTTTTACTGGAAAGAATAACAACAATATGTCAGTTGAGAGCTGGCGTCCAGAATCACATTCCCTTCTGCTTTAGAAGAAAGCCCCTGCACATGCAGGAAGATGTAGGCAGGTTTAGCAGTGATGAAAAATAATTAGTGCTCGCTCTCTCTCTCTCTCTCTCTCTCTCTCTCTCTCTCTGTCACCTTCTTCCTCTCTCTTCTCTCTCTCTCTTTCTCTCTTCTTTCTCTTCTCTCTTTCTCTCTCCCTTCTCTCTTCTATCTCTCTTTCTCTCTCTCTTCTATCTCTTCCTCTCTCCTTACTCTCTTGCTCTCTATTCTATCTCTCTTTCTCTCTCCTTTCTCTCCTTTCTTTCTCTGTCTTTCACAGCCTCACTCTTGTTCTTATCTCATCTCTCACTGTCTCTGTCTCTCTCATTGTCTCTATCTCTGCCTCTATCTCTCTGTCTCTCTCTGTTTCTATGCCTCTCTGTCTCCCTGTTCCTCTGTGTCTTTGTCTCTGTCTTTTTCTCTCTCTGAAAGTGACCAAGATGAAAAAAAAAAAGAAAAGAAAAGAAAACAGAGCCATCAACGAGGGGGGAAGGGGTGGGAAATAGACCATTAGAAGCCAAGACATCATGGAGGTGTCCAACAGCTAAATAAATGGGGAATTGAATCTTCCCTCATTGTGTCAAAGAGGCCAAGTCCTACACCAGCTGTAAAGGAAACAGGGAATTTACATTATCTGGGATGTCAGTAAAAGCCTAATGGCCACGTTTCCTGTCTGGTTCTCCCTGAAGATCAGCAAACTCTTCAGCAAGACTGATTTTCTAGGACTTTTATTTTTGTTTACTTTTCCAATTGGCTGCTGTGGCCCTGGAAAGGAAACCCAATCCCACAGAGAAGGGAAAGGAAATAAATGGGAGTGAGAATAGAATGGCCCAGAAAAAGTGGGTGGGGGAGGGGAGCAAAAGGGAGAGGATACAGATAGGGATGGACTCCATTCTGGGGTAGTTCAGATAGGGTACTTCCAGTCCGAACAACATCAAGAAAAGCCTATTTTGCAGGATCATGTCCCAACCTTTCAGATGAGCAAGCACTTTGGCTCTGCCTCAATGTCCATGGTTCCCCTGTATCCATTCCCATTTCACGTCAGGAAGCATTGCTCCTAAAATACTACATTGTAGCAACTGGTCTAATTTTCAGAAAAGCAAAGAGACCCTGCAGAGGTGGCCTAGTCCTTCCCCTTGCCTTCAAGTAATATAATTAATGCTCCTGGATCAAGATTAAGGGATGTAGGACCTGTAGCCTCATTGCCAAGTTGTCTCCTATATAGCAGCAACTCTCTATCCCCTAGTTAAGAGTCAGAGGCATGTGGCTCTTCCTAATTGGATTCTTCTCTTTGAGGTTCAGGGGACTAAGGAGGCTTCTGGTATTATTTTACCAAGAGCAGCCAGGGCAACAAATCTCAGTTCCTGGGAGGGAAATCCATGGAAGGAGTGTACATGTGAATCAACTTGAATTAGAAGGACAGTGTGGTGCTATGGAAAAGGTGCTAGGTTTGGAGTGAGAAAGATTTGGATTCAAATCCCACTTTATACTGGCCATGTGGCCGTGGACAAATCACTTCATCTCTCTATGCCTCAGTTTCCTCATATGAAAATGAAATGGGCATACTCAATAGTCTCTAATGTCTCTTCCAGCTCTAAATCTATGATTCCATAATTCCTGACTCAAAGAGGATGAATCAGACAAAGGAGCTATCCCAGGCTCGGGCAGGGTTGACCTTGTGCAGGATTGGATTTTCCCAAATAGAATTGGAGGAGTACCAAGAAGGGTCCCTTTCCTCTAACATATCCCCCCAACCAATCCATTGATGCTTGAAAATCCCTAAACAAGGAAGAAATCTTTCATTCCACAATTAGACATTTGGTTTAAAAGACAATGGGAGAAATATCTTGAATTCTAAAGTTCTCCCGTTCCTTGTCATGCTGTGGTGAGCCTCAGTCCTCAAAATTTATGCCAGTGGAGGTCAAGTTCAGTGGGTTCTAACGAACTGGAGCATAGGCTGGGTGATACATTGTGTGTCTGTCATCTAAGGACCAGTCCCTAGGAGGTCTTGGCTTCTAATCCCATATCTCCCACACCCTCTCCACTTGTCAATAGTTCTGTTTTCCTCTTGGTCACTTCCAGAGAGAAAGAGACAGAGAGGGACAGAGATGAATGGATTGTGTATCTGTCATCCAAGGACCAGTCCCACCCAAGGGGGTCTTGGCTTCCACTGCTATATTTGCTGTACTTTTGTCAATAGTTCTGTTTTTATCTTGGTCACTTCCAGAGAGAGACAGACAGAAAAACAGATAGACAGATGAATTATGTATTTGTTATGCAAAAAACAGACTAGCTAGGTTCAGAGGAGCAGAGAATCCTATGACCATAGATTTGGAACTAAAAGGGACCTTAGAGGTCATTTAGCCCAAATTCCTCATTTTACAGATGAGAAAAATGAAGCCTAGTAAGGTGACATGATTTGTCTTGGGCCACATAGCTGTTTGAGGAAGTTCAGAGAGCTCAGTGGGTAGATTCCTCAGACCACCAGTCTTACTTTCATCCCAGCCCTCTCAGTCATCATTCAGGGAAGTAACTTCTAGAGAAAGGGCCAGTCATCCCCACCAACTGCCACCCACAAGGCAGGCAAGCCAGGTGAGCAAATAGGAGAGATGGGAGGCAGAATGTGCCAGGCAAGTCAAACCATCGCCACCAACTTGACCACTATCTCTTCTCAGACCCCAGTGGAGATAGCCCAGAACCCTGAATCCAAGAGCCTTGGGAATAATAATGTTTCCAACCCAGTGCCCTTAGCTGTCATCTTGGAAAACAACCCAGGATCGTGGAGATGTAACTTGGCAACTTCTCCCACAGGTACCACAGCCACAGCAACTGAAAGCCTAGAAAAGAATGTTCTGGTCGCCAAAGTCTTTGACCCTATCAAAAGGTTCAACATCAAAAACTGATATGATTTTATCAGTAGAAATGACATCAGAAAAAAGGCAGTAACATCTGCTTCGCCAATGCACCCTCTGGACCCTGGAACTTTCCCATCTGACCTGCAGCTGAAATCTTCCATATGTATTATCTCCCCCTTTAGAATGTAAGCTCCTTGAGAATGGAACGTCTTTCCTTTCTATTTGTATTATCCTATTTGTATTCCCAGCACTTATGATTTATAATGCCTATAGTAAACACTTAATTTTTTTTCATTCATTTATTCATTCATAAAGCTTGACAGAAAGTTGATTCCAGCAATCGTAAAGATCACTTGATATGCTGTTGTTCAGTCTTTTTCTGTTGTGACCCACTCCTTGTGATCCTATTTGAGGTTTTCTTGGCAAAAACACTGGAAAGGTTTGTCATTTCCTTCTCCAGCTCATTTTACAGATGAGGAAACTGAGGCAAATAGGGTGAAGTGACTTGGCCAGGGTCACAAAGGAAATAAGTGTCTGATGCTAGATTTGAACTCAGGAAAATGAGTCTTTCTGACTCCAGGCACAATACTCTATCCACTGCACCAACTAATTGCCCACTGAGGTGTTGAGGTATCGAAAGATTATTGTAGTCTGAGTTGGTAGAAGTATATCTAACCCAATGAAATCATGCAATTCACTTTAAATGAAAGATATCAATGACACATTAAAATTTTTTTTCTATAGCAGACTTTTTGATCAAATAAGGAAACTGGGCTGCTGAAGGGTCAGAGAGAGGAGGGTACTAGGGAAGGGAAACCCATAAAAATGGGGAAAGGAGTAAAGGGATTCAAAATTAGGTGCTCCAAAGCCAAGCTGATCTCCCTATCTTGCCTCTCCCCTCATCTAATCTACCCACCATATAGCTGCCAAAATCATATTCCTAAACCGCAGCTCTGACCAGGTCACTCCTCTAGTGACCCACTATTACCTATAGGGTCAAATACAAACTGCTCTTTGACTTAACAGCCTTTCAAAATAGAGCACCAACCTACCTTTCTCCAGTCTTATCATGAGTGACTTTCCTTCCTGTACTTTGTGTTCCAGCCAAACTATTCCTCACATGCAACAGTCTTTCATATCTCATCTCAATGCTTTTGCCTAAGCTCCTTGCCATGCCCGGCATGTACTTCCCCCTCATCTTGGTATCTTAAAATTCCTAGCTTTCTTCAAAGCTCAGTTCAGTGATCACTTTCTATATGAGGTTTTTCCTGATTTCTCCAAGTTGCTAGTACCTTCCCACCCAATATCATCTTGTCTTTTTATATTTATCTTATAAGTATTTTATATGTACATATATATGTATATGTCGTCTCTCTAGATAGAACATAAGCTTGTTGATTTCCAGAATTGTTTCTTGCCTTCTCTAAAAGCAAAAATAGTTCCTGCCCTCACAGATTTCACCATGTAAGGAGGCAGGGGTTTCTAAACAATACTTAAATATCTGAATATTTGTAGTAGCACAGGATGGCTACACTGAGATTTTTGGAATCCCTTATATAGAGATGGCTTAAGACTTTCTAGGAACTTTGTGCCCTCAGATCACTGAGAAGGAGGAAGGGCAGATTAAAATAAAATGTTTTCCTATGTGTCAGGAAGTATAAGGAACTACAATAGTATTTTGGGTTCCAGAAACCTTCTTGCCCTGCTCTGCTCTTCTTGAGAGCCGTCAAAAGGCTGTTTTCCCAGAAGGGAACTGGAATTTCTCCAAAAGGGGCAGCACCAGCACAGCAGGTACAGTCAGAGAACCATGAAAGGAAGGTCATCCTTGTTGACCCTTACACCTGGAAGGGTCTCTAAAGATCATCCAGTTCAACCCTCTCCTTTTACAAAACAGAAAACCAAAGCTTAGAAAAGTGAAATGTGTTTCCTGAGTTCACACAGCCAGTTAGCTACAGAATCAGGATTCCAGCTCAGGTCTTCTGCCTCCCAGAAGCATTCCAGTGGGAAGATGAGACCATCTCTTTCTCCCTTCTGAGCCGAGGAGGGCCAGCCACAGGCCTCTTCTTTGTAAGGATTTTCAATTCTACACGTTCACAACAATATACACTATAATTGCATTTCTACTCAATTTTTATTTGCCTGATCTTAGCACTGGATAATTCCATGTGCATTAGCCAAGAACACTGTAATACACTACTCCTGAGATTAAAAGTTTCCTAGTTAAGTCCTGAGACTTCTCTAGAGGTAGCTGGATTTGCCACGGCTAAGGCCCATCCCTTAAGATGTTAAAGGATCTGCCAATTTGGCGGCCATGGATTAGGCATAGTGATTATGCACCAATAGTTAGCTCTAACTTTGAGGTAATACTAAGAATGAATCAACACTGAATCATTTTTTTTAAAAAAGGCTTTAAAATGTGCTAGAAATTGCCTTGGAGGAGAACTGTAACTGATCATAAATTCTGGTCCACAGCTTTTTGATAAAAACCTAATAAAACTGCAAGTTTTTGATAAGGCTGTTCCACTGAGCAGAAACATCCCAAGAACATGTGCAGGGAAGATAAGTGTGTATGTGGCCAGCAAAGGAATTAAAACGAGTGTGGAAGAACAGGAGGATAACGGATAGATGCCGTTTTCATATGCATGATGTTAGTAGACCTTCACAACACTGATGGGAGGCAAGGAAAGCAGGCATTATTGTCCTCTTTTGACAGCTAGGAAAACTGAGAGGTGGAGAAGTTAACTCAGCTCATTAGTGGTAGAACCTGTGTCTCCTAATTCTCCATTCTATTTCCTTTCTATTAGTTTCAACTGATGACAGTGGGTGATCACACATAACTTGACTTCAAAAGAGTATGATTACTTTATTGTCTCATTTAGAAATGTTTTATTCCTTCATCACCACAAAACATCCTCCTGGCATGGTGTGATTTCATTACCTAATTTTTATGAGTCAGATTAATCTGACGATTATTGTTATTGTTACGTAGAGTTATTGAAGCAGTCTCACCTAATGGATCAAGTGCTGAACTTGGCCTTAAGAACACCCTGGTTCAAATCTTGCCTCTGACATTTATTAACTCTGTGACCCCTGGCCAAGTCATTTAACCTTCTGAGCCTCAGTAAAACTGCTTAGAACTCACCAATGAAATAATGGAGTCAAGAAGACCTGGGTTCAAATACAGCCTCAGACACTTACTAGTTGTGAGACCATGGGCAAGTTATGTACCCTCGGTCTGCCTCAGTTTTCTCAACTATAGAACAGGGATAATAACTGCACCAGTTCAAATCTGGCCTCAGACACTTACTAGCTGTGTGACCCTGGGCAAGTCATTTCACCATTTGTTTCAGTTTCCTCATCTGTAAAATGAGCTGGAGAAGGAAATGGCCAACCACTCCAGTATCTCTGCCAAGAAAACCCCAAGTGGGGTCACAGGACAGGGACACAACTGAAATGACTGAATAACAACAATAAAATACCCCAGGGTCATTGTGATGATCGAACAAGACAATATGTATGAAGTACTTGGCAAACCTTGAAGCACTATACAAACTGTAGCTGCTACTGCTACTACTACCACTACTACTACTACTACTACTACTACTACTACTACTACTACCACTACTACTACTACTACTACCACTACTACTACTACTACTACTGCTACTACTACCACTACTACTACTACTACTACTACTACTACTACTACTACCACTACTACTACTACTACTACTACTACCATTACTACTGCTGCTGCTGCTGCTGCTGTTACTGCTACTTCTACAGCTACTTTTGCTACTGTTACTGCTACTTCTACTACTACTGTTACTATTACTGCTACTACTACTATTGCTGCTACTACTGCTACCTTCACTGTCAACTGCTGCTATTGCTGCTGCTTCTACAACTATTACTGGTACTACTGCTACTGTTACTCCTACTGCTGCTACTGCTGCTGTGGCTATACTACACTAGTAATACTATTAGCATACTGCTATTGCTGTTGCTGCTACTATTACTATTACTGCTACTGTTACTACTACTACTATTAGTATTGCTGTCACTGCTACTGCTACTACTATTACTGCTATTACCACTGCTGCTGCTACTACTAAGTTCATGAAGCTATATATGGGGAGATGCTTCAGAGAGATGAGGTGGGGAAAGGCCAAGTTTCTCCACTGAGATCTGTTTTGTGCAATCCTACTCCCACCTTAAGCAGCCAAACAAAAGACTCTTCTTCACTCAGAAGTGCCCCAAGCAGATATGCATGAGGCAGGATTTGAACTCAGGTCCTCTAGCTCCAGAATGCCAACTGCCTTAGTTTATCAAGAGGTAACTATAGATAGTAATTTGGGAATGAGACATAACATTGTCAGACATGACCAATGGGCCAACGTGTTTGATTTATTTTATTATTTATTTCTTTGTTACTAGGTAGGGTTGGAGGGTGGGGATAGAGGGAATCATTGGAAAATTACAGCAGTGCTTTTAAAAAGGCGTCAATAAAGCATTCCAAGAAGTAAAATTAAATAAAACAAAAAGTGCCCATGACCAGATCTTCATTAACAAACCAAAACTGCAAAGTGGAAATAGAAATCAGTTTTTTAAATAATTCACAATACTCTTATATTAACTGCTGCTGCTACTATTGCATACATGCATGCATGGATATGTACGTATATAAATAGATACATACTTACTGAGAGAAATGGTTATTAATAATTGATGATTTGGGGAGATCTAGAGTTTCCCCTTTTTCTATAGTCCCCGTTTCAAAGTTCAGTCTCTCAAAGGATGTTGAATTAACTCTCCTCAATCTTGGTCGGACCCCACTCAGCCTTACAAGGAATTTAATCTCATTGTGTTCTACTTAGTCTTGAGTTGAAATAAATTCTTTGCTTGTCCCTCTCCTCCCCCCATTTAGAAGTAAATGATATAATCAAAGTTCATTAGAAGAGGCCCTGCCCCTCATTATAATATTCATTGTCTCATTAATTGTTAACCAATCAGAGTTGATTGCCACCCTCTGGAATACCTACTTTTCCAAGGCCATATAAGCTTTGAGTCTGCCTGACATGAGGGTCTTTGATATTTGAGAATGCCACTGGTCTCTTTTATTAAAATGCTAATTACCCAAAAATTATGTCTCTTGAATTTTTTATGTGTGT